TGGAAATTCAGAATTATTTTTATTTAAGAGAAAAGACTGGACTTGCGTTATTATTGACTTTAAAGCCAGTCAAAGCTTAAAGAAAGAACTTGAGGTTTATCTAAGAACGCAGTTTGGGAGTTGTGTCAAACCTAGAACGTTTTATTTATAGCATAAAACTGTCGCCTTTTTAGACAGCCGGCTGGTGTCAAGGGTCTCCAAGCAAGCCCCTTGCGCTTAGAGTCATTAGAATGAAACATCACACTGTAGATATTTTTACTTTTCACACTTATAGCCAAGAAAGATATATGACAGAAAAGAATTCTACAACGCAAACTTGGCTTGGCTTCGTAGTCTCTCCCATTTTTTGCTTGTAGCTTCCAAATTCAATTCAATTCCAAAAATTGAATGATTTTTTCTTTTAATTTCCTAACTATTTTTTTTTTGTAGATCCATTGTCCAGTAGAGGACGTCCTTGATTGTAATAGCAAATTATTTCTTCTCGGCATCATGATATTAAGACATTTCTACTAAAATAGAGAAAATCAAATCTTATATGACATTTCTTCCGTAAAGTACAGGAACTGCTTGCTCTAATTCAAAGTGAACCCAGGTTTTATAGCAGGCAATTAAGCTAGCCGTAATGAGGATTTTATTGAAGCTTTAACGTTTGTTCTTGAATGACGTCACAAACACATACCTACCCATGTTTCTATATAAAGTTTCTACTTTTAGATAAAAAGATATTAATGATATTCCGAGTATTCTTTTGGAACTACATATATTAATTAGGACTGTCTATAGTTTTTGAAAGTCTTTTACTAGGTTTGTATGATGTACAAATGATGTACAAATGTTGTGCTTGATTGTAGGATGCTGTCTAAGATTTTGTGTCAAATGTATGTTTTAATAAACAAATCGTTTACTTACTGTATTTGCGCGTTCGCTATTAGCTTTTGTTAACACTAACCTATCAGATGCAAGAAATACACGTAGAATAAGGTGCAATCCGCCTTGGTATTTTATTGACGTGTTGTTCTTCGTACTTACATGCATACATATTTATTAGTTATTGATTGTACTGGTTATTAATATTCATAAACTCAATACGGCACCGCTAACACGGCGCTTCGGGGCTTTGTAAGTTATTTGTGATTGTGTGACCTTTTCAGTACCTATTATTACTTTCCGTCAAAGGTAGGTAATAAGGTTTCAAGAAATAATCAAGAATAAATAAATAAAAATACGAACATGGATAAATTTAGTACCTAATTTTGATTTCACTATTCCTTGAAACGCCTACATTGTTGCTTTAGTGCTATTTCATGGAATAAAACTCATAATAATCACACGCATAAGAGCCAAAGCACACAATGTATTGCGTTGCGGCGGCGGTGCGACGCCGCGGCGGAGCGGTGTCCGCGTCGCGAGATACGGCTAAACCTTAGGCCTCAGCCTCGAGTTTAGCGGGCAGCGGGGCGGGAGCGGCGGCGGCGCGGGATAGGCAGGATCTTATGCGTAAAATCAAATAGACCGGTTCTCGAAAACAGCGGCGCGGCAGCGGCGCCGGAGCGGGCAACGAGCGGGCAGCGCACTCCTTCTTTTGCCCACAATAAATCGAGCGATAGGAATAACCTTAGGGTGGGTTGCACCATCTTACTTTGACTGTAACAAACGTCAGAAATCTGTCAAACTCCATATAAAAATCACCGGTTATCGTTTTTTTTTATTTTATTTTATTTTTCTTTATTAAGGAAACAAACAGCATGAGTTTAATTTTACGGTCAAAGTTTGGTGGTGCAACTCAGACTTAGTGTTGAAATAATGTCATACTTGTAGATGTCATGCCNACACAACCCCGAACACAACACTTCGCCGCTAAAGCGCCGCGCGAGCTGCTCGCCCGCATGTTTCGAGAACGGGTCTGCGTTGCCCGCCCCGCTCCCGCGCCGCCGCCGCTCCCGCCCCGCTGCCCGCTAAACTCGAGGCTGAGGCCTTATTCTGTGGCTAAGCCTAGGCGCAGACCACCGACTTTTAGTTGGCAGATAGTTGGGTCGGGCTGCTAATCAGTATGGACATGAATGAAAGTGCGCACATTACACCGATTTGGTATCGGCCGACTAAAAGTCTAAAGTACGGCCAACGAGAAGCGATACCAAATGTATACAAACCCAATGTCATGGTCATTTGGAATAGCAGGGGTTTGACTTTGACATTATTTTGGCGGGAGAACGAGACATTACGACAAATACACAAGATGGGAAGAGACAGAATAGATTGTCAGTTCGACAATCGAATCNGTCGAATCGACTTTTTGTATCGCTGCTAGTTGGCCGTACTTTAGTCTAAATATTTGCGGTGCGGCGCATCGTGTACTCAATACTCAATAGTTTTCAATACTCAGTAGTAGTACCTACTCATGTAGTTTAGCTCTAACACGATGCCGAAGGCTGGGAGTGTGAAATTACAGAATCCATAAGAGTTAGATGAGGAAAATGTGTAGAAGGTAAATTGAAGGGGAACGAATCATAATCATGGACGAGATATAATATTTTACGAGACGTGATCGGGGCGTGTTGTATGAGTCCATTGCTTAGTCCTAATATCCACACACTCATCGCACGTTCCACATAATTATGTATTTATAAAAAACTAGCTGACCCGGCGAACTTTGTTGCGCCTTAATGGCAATAAATAAGCAGACTTTTTTTTTAATTCCGAACGGGATAAAAAGTATCTTATGTCCTTCTCCTGGCTCTAAACTACCTCCCTGACAATTTTCAGCTAAATCGGTTCAACCGTTCTTGAGTTATAAGTGGAGTAACTAACACGACTTTCTTTTATATATAGTAAGTATAGATAGATTATAGATATTAGCAATATGTCAATAATTATTGCTTTTAATTAACTATTCAATGTTAAAGTGCTTTTATGGGCCATTTGTGCCAATTTGGGATGGTATCTACAATCATTGTGTACCCTAGATTGGGATATTTACAAAGGTTATCGTGTATTTTCAACCGACTTCAAAAAAGGAGGAGGTTCTCAATTCGACCCGTATGTTTTTATGAGTAAATTTGGAAATTAAGGCAATATTTATCTGAAAATAATGCGAAGAATGTGTATTCTTTTCGACTAGTAAACGAGTTTGTTATAGTAACAAGGCATAGGGGAATACGACCATAACGTTAACTTAACGCACGTGGAGATGGAATATTATATGAAAAAATATGTGAAAAAGGTCATGGACCTAATAAGAATTTATCTAGCTATCATATCTAATTAATTGAATGTAGATAGGTAATAAAGAAATATAAGTCGTAATACTTAACTGGATTCTAATCGATAAACTTAATAATTTCAATGAAATTTCGATTAAGTGAATCTGAATTAGTTATACCGATTAAAAAACGGTTATGATTGGCTTGCAATTTAAAAATAATCCAGCAATATTATTGAGGATAGGCAATAAAAATATACACGAAGTAGATAAATAAACATTTTACAAAAAGCTGCTTTAAGTGACGAAAATAATTATTTATTTAAAGAAGATCTAGCAAGCACAAGCACTCGCGGACCCCTATTGGTCCGCAGACCATAGGTTAATAAAATACTGCCCTAAGCAATACACACCTGTGTGCCTGCCTACAGTAGGTACCCTCCCGTAAGCTAGTATTGGTCTTTAAAAAATATTGAAATGCGACTTGCGATTTTTACGGGTCTTCGCGGAAAATAGATTTTATGTCCCAGCAATTTTTTTGCGCTCTTTTTGTTGCCCCTAAGATATGAAGCCCTAAGCCTAAGCAAGGGTTAATTAATCCTGAACTGATTTTTGTTGGAAAATCGCACTTACTACAACAATATAAGATGCTAGTGCTCAGCTCGATGTGCTGTCGTCCATACTTATGAGATTAGGTTATTAAGTAGACTATTGTTAAGCGACACGTGACTCCGAAATATTAATAAGTAAAGTATACAANGTAGGTATACAAACCAGAAAGTAGTAAGCCCCGTGTCACGAATGAGGACATTGGCGAAATTCAATTTAGTTTAGCATCTATACTAGCAATTTATTGATATTAAAGTTAAACAGTCATAATATTAAGTACGTTGGTACTCTCAAGGTTCTTGAACGAAATTGCGAGAGCTTGAAGCTCTTTACTAGATATGACGTTAAGTGGTACTCGTAATGGCATTTGAATTGTGGAATCGAAGTTAACGATGTTTTAATGGCATTATTTTAATTAAACGTTTTATGGAGAAATGGAGATGATTTAATAATAAGATTCAACCTTTTTCTATCTTCGGCCATCGTTTTTAATTAAATCAGCCTTTGCAGGCATCGCAAATACATACTTATAGCACATATAAAAGTGGCATATGACAAAACATATTTACTCATGCCTCTTTATACAAAGAAAGATGCCTACAGTCTGTCTGACTTCAGACGTTACACATGGCTTGATTCGGCCTACTGATTTCCATATCGGACGATTGAAAGCAGTCCGTATTCTTCTTGCAACTTTTATAAGGTCACTTATCAACCTGAATGTTTAACACTTTCCTGGACAGTAACCCAGACACAAGTTTAATGGTTATGACTGCTATACTTAGAAGTTCACTGTCGCTGAAAGTGTTAAACAGGATTTTTTTATCTCCAGCTGAAATTATCGGAGTTCGGTTTTTGCAAGGTAATAAATAAATATGCAGACAAATTAATGCATTTTTAGTGAGTGCTGGTAGTTTTTCGCCAATGTATACGAGCAAACTCGTAGGCTCCATACTTTACACATATAAGTACAGAAGACAGCACTTCAACGTAAACACTGTGGGGTTTTATGCAGCTGTTGTAAGAGCGAATTTGCAACAAAAATGGGTAGTCTAATGTGCTGTCGTCTGTACAAGGATTAAAATTTACAAAACAAGTTAATATTTTTACAGTGCCTAGTTTTATTTTACTTCTTTTTTGTTATTTGAAGTTGTTCCCTATAAATCTAGATGAAATTACTGAAATTACTTACATTCTGCGCGACGTCCATCGGCGCGAGCATCGGCAACTCCCGCTTTCTCGGCTTCCTCCACAGTAGCACGATGGCAGCCACCAGCAACACCGAGCCCGCCCCAGCCATAGCTCCAAACGCCGCGCTCCAAGCGTTGCTGTGCTCCTCCATAACGAACGACCGCGCCTCAGGCTTCACCTCCTCACTCCAATGCCTCTCGTAAACACTGTCGTACTCCCAAGGTGCCCCGCTGGGCGGTCCAGCCCGTTCCTTATCTGTTGATAACATAATTAGCTACAGAGCATTGTATCATCGATCCGCTAGATATGCCGTTGTTTGTGCACATGGAAAACTTGCGCTTTCAGTTTTTACGGGCTTATTACGAGCTTTTATGGCGCTAATAGGCGATCCGCTGTTTGAGATTGGAGTTGTTAATACTAGTGTCCACTTCAAAGGTTTGATGCAATGTTAATTTTCCAATCACTTACGTAGGTATATAATTTATAGAGAACTATGTAGGTAGGCAATAAATGTACCTAACTTACAAACAAGAATCTATTTTATTCATTCTTTTATACCTATTAAAAGAAGATAAATAAATAATAAGATGACGCTTTCGTACTCGCACTTAGAAAACAAATCCCATGGTTTTGAACAACTAATAAGTAATTAAAGTATAAAATAAAAATAATAAATAAATAATCTTTGGACAATTTTCACACAGCGCCAGCTAGCCCCAAAGTAAGCAACTAAAGTAAGTATCTAAAGTAACTTTTATAAAAAGCTTTACTTACTTGAGTATTATTTTAATCATGCTCCTAAAGATTATAACTCAATTCACGTCTTTAAATTATGCAGATTGCAGAGCAAACTTAAGTCACGCGTCATTTTTTAATCTATTGACGTAGCTTGAAATATCTTCAGCATCGATCTCTACTTATTCTCTAATTTAAAGACAATAAATTTTACTTTTAGAAACAAAATACAAGGACTTTTTATAATTTAAATTAGTAGGTAGTTGTTAATGAACCTCCTACCGACTTAAAACTTAAATATGTATTTCCAAATAAAAAATAAGAACATAGAAAAAATAGAAGGTTTAAGTAAAGATAAACTGAAACAAAAACTTTGAAACTGGAAAAGGGCAAAACAGAGCGCAAAGCCTTCGTATTATCACGGAAATGTTTTCGAATTGCACTGACGTCATCTAACCACGTAAAATCACTTTTCTCCGTACAAGTTCCTGATTTCCTCTTTTCATGTTATTTGCACTCACTAAAACAAATGAAAGCAATAAACTTTTTTCTACGTACCCATAAGTTGGTTGGCAATTGTTTTTGTTCGGCTGGGCGGGCGGACACGTGCTTTGGGCGGGCGGGCGCGCGCGACTGGCCGGCGACACGATCGTCTTATCATTACGCCGTGTTTACCCGACCAGCGGCCGTGATCTGTGTCCTGATTAGGGTTGTCGGTGATCCGTGATAAGAGAACCAAACAAATGGCTTTGCTTGTCTTGTCTTTTTGTTAATGTTTATTGTCCTCTATAATGAAAATTTCAAATGGAGCTTGAAGTCTTCTTTCTGTTAAATGTCTATTTCAGAGAGATAAATATTATCTATCAGTGATTTAAAACAGTAATAAAGGACTGTTTTCTTTGAACAAATAAGGGGGGCGGAGCTGATAACCTTGTGTATTTTGTTGGGGTAAAGCAGAATAGAGGAGGCTCATAGTCCAGCAGTGGAAGGGCTGTTGATGATGATGATGAAAGCAGAATAGAATAGGACTCTATGTTTTCCTGTGGACGTTGAATGCGTAAAGGAGAAATATGTCTTGCCAAAAAAAGTGTCATAGCTATCAAGCCCTGATAGTTTGCCTCACATCAACCGAGACATAGTAAAGAAGGTGTAGTACTAGGACTTAATACCCTAGGTACGACGGTTTAGTACTGACTGAATAATATTTTTTGTTCATCAGAATAATCTTGTAGGTAGACTCGAGACCGAATGAAGTGAAAATAACAATTTTATACTACAGTAGAACGCCGATTATCCGAATTAATTGCGACCGGTCTCGATTCGGATAATCGAAAATTCGGATAATCGGACATAGACTGATAATATAGAAAAAGTGTGTTTAAAACGAACTATCACACATAAAATAAACTTTATTAACTGTGTTTACAGTTCTACAATAACGCTCAGTTGAAATATATCTAGACTCCTGCGAGTTCCAACTTGTTACAACAAAACAAAATAAAAATTACTTGGTTTTAATTTTTTATATTAAGCTTAGGACCGATTCGGATAATTGGCGATTCGGTTAATCGGCGTTCGGATAATCGGCGTTCTACTGTAATTATTTTTTCATAATAAACGAGTCCTACAAAGCGAAGCGATCGCGATCCCAGATCTATGATAAATAATTCTCAAGCAGTGTTAAGCACTGGATTTGGAAATGTCAGCACGTGATTACTTAGTTACATAAGGAAAATGGAAAGTCGCAACCACGGGCCGGAAGACGTAGCGTGGGCAGGCCCCCCACTAGGTAAACCGACGATCTGGTGAAGGTCGCGGGAAGAGCCTGGATGCGGGCAGCCCAGGGCCGGTGGTTATGGAAATCATTTGAGGAGGTCTTTGTTCAGCAGTGGAAGTCTTTTGGCTGAAACAAATGAACAAGAAAAAAACAGGCGTTTTACTTCTTTAATTCCACTATGCCAGCGGTACTTCGTCGCGAATGCTAGAATCTTGTCGCCCTCTCGGAGGCCACATTCGACGAAACCCGGTTGTTACGATTGACTCATGTTTCTTTGATATTTCATGATGTGGTATGACTGAGAGGGCAAATGTCTAAGTATGTCTAATGAATGCCACTTACGACGGTAGGTATATAATTGGATTAGCTTTGCTTGTAACAAGTTTATACTTGGTAGGTAGTTTTACCACCCACCCTATATACCTAAAAAGGCTTAAGTAGTTACCTACTAAGAATATTTTGTGAGCTACCTACTTATTATCTGAATATGATCGCGTACATTCTCAACGACAGAAAGCTATTTCAAATAAAGGTTTATGCACGAACTACTTTATTGCAGGTTTGATTATGGTGTCGGTTTCTCTGATAGGTAGGTTTTGACATTTTAAAAATACGAACAAAAACTCACGCAACTACATAGACTATGTAAAAATACATTTAAATTAACCATCACGATTGGGCTCTATGCTATCTATGTCACTCTTTATCAATCTTTAAATAAAGGCCCAAAACAGATACAGTGGGGGTTTTCTTTAATTACCTACGAGTAAGACCTAATCACTTTGACTTCATTATAAATTAATGTCTAATAAGTTAACTTATGCACCCACACACGTTACATTTCTCTTGAAGGCTTCACGAGCTTAATTTGGCCCAAAGAGAAATATTTCATAAACTCATCTCATTTACGTAGGTTGCGGTCAAAACTTTTACCTACGTCGTACTTTTTGCTTGTTAGTAAATTACAATTCTTAAAATAGAAGCTCTAAATGACTTTTTTATAAAATTTAAATTAATATAAAACAGCTTGATTTTGAAAACGTTAACGTTATAGTAAGATATACTTAAGAGACAATTAAGGCAGTTTTATCGCTATAAAGCAATAACATAAATTTTAGTATTTTTAATTGCTGTAAGTATGGAATATTACCTACTTAAATCGTAATTATTAATCGGGAAACTGGTAATAACCTGTACTTTGGTGTTTGCTAGCTACTAGGTATGTAGGTAGCTAGCGCGGTTAGTATTTATAAAGTATAATTAAAGTTGTATGCTATGTAAATTAATGGTCACTGTAATTATTAAGCTCCAGGTGCGTGTTGTGCCTGCCTTTTTATCTAAAAATCAACTTGGAGCAAATCACAGGCTTCAATCCTGTAAAAATAGCGACTCTGCTAAATAATGACGCTTTGTTTATATTCGCTGGAGTCGCTGCCGGAATGTTTAACACGGCGTTCGGTACTATCAAGTCAAAAGAATTTGTTTACGTTCGCAGCTACTGTTATTAAATATTCATGACTCGCCTGAACAAGTTATTTTGTGCATAATTTGCACAGTCAGCATGTAAATTCAGTCAAATAATTATTCAGTTCATAAATATCATATTACGTCTGAAGCTAAGTAGGTATGCGCTAAAGGGCTTCTGGATGTTTTTTAAACAGACACCTACTATTTATTTCAATTTAATCAAAATGGGAACAATTTCATGCCTATTTACCTACTTTAATTTTTGTTTATTTGGATGAAAACAGTCTTATTTTCATTCATTCATTTGTGAAATATTTTTAGTATTGTATCATTTTTGAGATGACTAAGTATTAAAAGTACATTTTATTAAAATTTTAAACAACTAATGGCTCAGCTCTCTAAAAATATCGCACCTACTTTCGATATTCTATAATCAAACTTGATGTAAAAATAGGAGCATTCTTTCGACTGCTGACACGAAAAAGTTACGATCTTACCTTCACAGTAGCAAACTAAGGATATTTTATTTATTATGATGGATTAAAGTGGCAGCAGGCAGCCTTAATAAAATTATTATTAAGTACAGCGCTGTCGTAAAAAGGAGGAAGGATCAGTAAATAAATTGGTAAGTACCTAAATGTTATTTAAATAAAAATTTTAGAGTTAAAATTAAGATAGCACCATTATTACAGCTCCTTCTGTAAGTCTAACCNCTCCTTCTGTAATGGCGCAAGTACACTATTTAACACTATGCGGAAAATTGTTCAAGTCGAAGTGCTAGCCCGCACACTGAAGAAGTATGGGCGACACACGAGTGGGAAAAGGAGAATGTAGCCTAGATGTGATGTTCAAACTACGTCTTGGGCAATTTCCGGCATAGTGCACTTGCACCATAAAAATAAATGTTTTTTATTTTATTTTATCAGACACTCATTCTCATTCATTGTTGTTCTGAGTGTGAGATCTGGAGCCTAAACTAGGGCCACCCGGTATTTCAGACCTCCGGCCTCCAAGAAAAAAAAGAAATGCTATAAAGCGCCCTCTATATTATGAATAGTAAACTAAAATACGCATTGGCAGACAGCCTCAAAGCCCTCAAAGGTAGTGAAATGAAGGAAGATAGTATCAGTCGTTGAAAACAGATGGCGTTTTAGCCAAAAGTTGAATAAACATTAGAATTGAAATTCCTTCAAATTACAATTTTTTAATAACTATGCATTATTCATGATAAATCAAAGACTTTTTAAAATTAAAATTGAGTACCTAGTCAATGATTTTGCAAAGTACTTATCTATATTACATACTCACTCAAGTTTTAAGCAATTTAAACACTATGACTATATTATATTACAATTTATATTTACACTATATCATACAAGATACTTTATACATATAAAATTAACATTAAATAAGTTTATGTCTCCATTTCTCGTTTTTCAAATGGGAATGTTTGTTTGTATCTGGCCACCCCGAGACTGACAAACGCTGGAACAAAAAAGTATGATTACATTTTGCCAATTAAGATTTATGGCAATTTAAATCAACAGCATAGAGTTTAAATACTTAGTTGTTATTTTTTGTATTTCATTATTTAATTTTATCATGTGTATTTTGTAAGTTAAAATAATTATGAAACACAACATTGTATAATTTTTTTAACAAAAATGTAGCCCATTCAACAGTTTCCTGTAAACATTAGGTTACATATTCATTAATTTTTTAACATAATTGCTTTAAAAACACTATGTACTTAATTATTTAGATCTTAACTTGTGCTGTAATTTTACAAGCTTTTTTATAACTTCTGGTGTAGGTAATCAAGTTTTCATGAAATAGGTACTTATAATATACACTGAACTACAATGTAGAATATTAAAATTAGGACAATTACTTAGGGATATTGTTGAAATTGCTACTCTTCCAGGCAAAGTTTTATTTTTCCATGCAATATTCGCCAAGTAGCCTCCAATTCCGATGAGGCCGACAGCGCCGACTATTCGGCACCCCAGGCAATCCTTGGGCACCTTAGCTACGGTTTGCTTTTCAGCACTCATGTTGTTTCATTTATTATTTTATCTTTTTAATTTGATTGCACAACTTCTAAAAAATAAACTTCTCCACTCACTGAAAGAAATCGGCAAAATTGACAAGTGACAGCCATTCAGTAAACCAACTGTCACTGTGACAGATTTTTTTTCAATAGGGTTTACGGCTTTGGTTATTTACATATTGCCAAATCTTGAGTCGTGGATTAAAATAAAATAAAATTTTATTCTGAAGCCATTGTTCTATCTTCTAGAAGAGTTTAACGGGGAAATATTCAATTTCATATTGATGAGCACCACAGATCTGTAATGAGCGGCTTTGAGCTTCTTAGCGGGAAACTTGACAC